TATTATTATTTTTATTTTTATTATTATTGAAAATGTAAATGAAAAATGCTTGAAAATCCGTAAACTGAGACCCCCCGCCAACCCCTGAGCTAACCCAAGGCCCAATCTATTTGGCATTGTGTGTGACCCTCATTCGGTGTCCGATGAGCCAAAAAAAAAGGCAAACAAAAAAAAAATATGGGGAACAAAATGAAAAAGGACTGCGATTCAGCAGTCAATAAGATAAACAGCCTTTGATTGCGTTTTGCTCTCACTTTTGCTTTTCCTTTACGCTGAGGAAAGGGTATATTGTAGTTGGCCAAAAGTGTGTAACAGGCAGACGGATATTTGTATATATTCTGGATCTGGATTAACAGCCAACTCGATCTAGTCAGAGCTAGTCTCAGAGCCTATAACAGCTAGAGACTCTAAATGTAGATTTTATGTTGTCGATTTTAATCGATAACTTTTGTCGTTTTTGCGAATATCGATGCAAATTAATTTCCGATGGCAATAAAATATATATACTTTTTAAAAGATATATCTTTCAAATCGTGAATGTATTTATATATAAACCTTGAAATAATATTGATCATCTGATCCAATTGTTAAATTTAATTTTAACAAGATAATACAATTTGGCTGTAAATAATCATATGTTGTTTGAATATCTAAGGCTTATGATAGCTTTAGATTTGTGGTCAAGGTATATTCTAGTCGAGCACTCGCGACAAAAGCATTTTTAGTGGATTTTTGTTTTTGTTCTTCGTCACTGGATTCTCGGGTTTTGGGTTTCGAATTTCGGTTATCGTTTTTCTTGTCGCTCAGAGGCCGGCCCCCGTCGGGATCGGCCCTACTCAATGTGTGCACGTGAATTATGCAGAAGTGCAAAGCGCAAAAAACACATCTGAATATTGCGTGATTGCAATGTGGTGGAAACTGCGTATTTATGTATTTCTAGCATCTGCTGGTTGTTTCCTAAAACGGATATTGTCTTTTTTTTTTTATAGCTTTCTATTGTTTTTTGCTTGTGTTTTCGCTTATCAATTATCCCGTTGATCTTTTGCCCAAATCCAACGAAATCGAATCGTAAGTTGTGAAAGAAATATATATTATTAAATTGAGGCTTTGCTTAATATACATCAAAATTGATCAATGTTGCGAGGCTTTATTAAGCATAGAATTGATTGTTTTTTTTTTCTTCTGTTTATCAGTTTGTGTTGTTTTTAACAGTTATTTTAAACTAGCGATAATAGTTTTACATAAGTGTTAAATAACATTAAAAATTGGCGTTGTGCCTGAAATGTGTCAGTATTTATTAAAGTTATTAAAGGTTGAGCTATTTTTTACTTCGTCACGCTTTGGATGAGCGTATTTAGCTAGAAAAATGAGCTTAACACATTCTACATTAGCTGCCACTGTTGCCGGCTCTGCTTTATATCAGCTAGTTAAATTGTTTTCGCTTATCGCTTATGGTTTATCTCCCTTCAACTGCACCTCACACTCTCTCCCCCCATTGTGTGTGTGTGTGTGTGTGTGTGTGTGTAGCTCCACTCAATGGAATTCATGTCGAAAAATGAAAGTTGCGTTAATTTTGATACACATACGTATCTGTTAAACGTATTATTATTCGGTCGTTATTGTTGTTGTTATATTGCTTTTAGCGGTTTTCATTTAACATGCTGCTAACTGTGATTATTATTATTTGGTTATTATTGCTGTTGCTGTGGCTGTTGCTGTCGCTATTTGCCTTTGCCACTTGGTTACCGAAAACATTCACAAAAATGACGCCAAATCAATTTATTGTGCCATCTTCTCCTCCTCTGTATTACATTCTGCAGACTGCAGTACGACTACACCGCCCTCGCCCATTCCCACAGTCGGCTGCAGTTTTAATTAAGTGTTTAATTATTGTTGATGATGATGATGATGATGATGCTGGGCAGCGATGCCACTCTGCCACTCTGACGTCTGGCCGCGTGATGTGGGCACACTGGACAGCCACTCAAATGCCAATGAGTTTTGCATATGTGAGTGCAATGGGATTAACTAATGAGCTCCGAATAACCGCAACTTCAAAGTCTCGGTGTGTGTCTGTGTCTGTGTGTGTGTGTGTGTGTGTGTGTGTTGGTTGTGTGTTTGTTTTGTGATTAGCTTGCCACTAGATGAGAAGAGATGAGAGAAATTAGAGCTATTTACTATAACTTTTAATTAATTGAAAGCTATACACTTTTTAAATTAATTAAACAACAATTGAAAATTTGTACTTGAACAAGAATTCAACTATGTGCATGAGGACTGTAGGTTTGTCAATATTCAATCATTGATAGCAGAAAGGCCCTGCTTGAATTGAATTCTTACCATTTGAAGCTATTGATCACACTACATTGCACTTCGTTAAAACACAATTGTTTGCCAACTTTATGCCAAAAAAAATCCAATTAGGGCATAATATACTTTGTATGCTGGTTTGTCATGAGAATTTGAGTGGGTAATTATATAGACTAAACTGGTTATATAAAAAGTATACACACATTTTTACGGGTCTAGTAATTGAATGCTATTCCTATCAAATAGTTTTTTTTTTAACGACGATTACACTTTACGCCTGTTTGGCGAATTAATTGGAGTCAGCTTTAGAATTGTGAATTAGCTTCGAGTGCAAGGTAAATATTAATATTACGATTATTTGAGGGGCTCATGCACGGCAACTCATTCTGTGCCATTCTACTGATTACATCTAGTTTACATAGGTGAGTGTGCCAGGTTTAAATAGTTTATCGTGCCTGGTGCCTCCTGCTTAGTTCGATAGTCGCAGTTGTCTTTCCTCGATTCTCAGTTGTTGTCGCATTGTCTATGGTAGTGGTCCTATTGGAGGACTCTCTGTCGCCTGCACCTTGCTCGTTGCTTCTTTTCCCGCCATATCCCTATGAGCCGGAACTGATCTTAGTGCAAGCATATTGAGTAATCCGAGTTTGTCTAGATTGGTTGATTGGACTTCAATTGTTGACGCTGTGAGCAAAGTAATAATTATAATTAAATGGATTTTTGCGTAATCGACGGACGAACAGTAGTAAATCGGCTTTCACTGTTTGTTTCGATTGCTTGCATTACAAAATGGTTTTCCTCAAATGTTCAAATGCTTTGAACTCTTCTTATTACAAGTGAGTTGCCAGTAAATCGAATTTCTATGTATTTACATTTGCCAGATTGTTAATTAGTTACATTTCGAACATGAAAAAAAGCACAATAAAAAAAAAACCGTTGCACAAGTGAAAGGAAAATGCATTGTCTGAGCTTTTTCTGATTTTCCCTTGGCCTAGTGTGATTTTTTTTTCTTTTTTTTTGGGCTGATTGGCAAACGAATGGCTGGCTGGCAAATCGTTGCAGCTCATTTCTGTGCCCTTCTTTCACCTCATTGCCGTTGTATGTTAACGCTATCTGCCCGTCAACCTTGCCACACATATTCAACGCAATTTTCAGTTGCATTTAAAACAAATGCAATTTTCACTTTTCATACACTTACAAACGCCCCATGGCTCAGTGGTTGCCAGACTCACAGACTGACAGACTGACTGAGTGACTGAGTGACTGACTGATTGACTGACTGACTGACTGACTGACTGGGCAAACTTGCAGACATGTGCGTGTGTGTGTGTTGTTTGCTTGTTGGTTTGTTGGTTTGTTGGTTTGTCTGTTTGTCTGTTTGTTGGCGCTGTTTACTTTCTGTGCGCACGCTCTGCTCGCAAACATTGCGCATACGCCGCGTTCGCAAAAGTAAAATCAGAAGTCTGCATCTGCTCATTGCACGTGTGTGTGTTAAAATTGTGAAAAGCGTATCTGGAGCAGAAAATGTAATGTGCTCCCGCCGGCAAAACCAGCAGCTTTTCTTGCCACCTTGCAAACCAACCTCCTCGCAGTTGCCCGGTTTCGTTATTTATGTGCATAATATTCCATTTAATTTATGTTTTGTTTTTCTTTTTTTTTCTTTTTTTTTCTTTTTTTTTCTTTTTTTTTCTTTTTTTTTCTTTTTTTTTTTTACCATTTTATCAAATTTTGTTTTGCAATTAGCCAACCTGCATCCATATTTTGCGTGACAGCCTTGACGGAAGGAGAGAAGGAGAGGGCGGTAGAGAGAGAGAGAGAAAGAGAGAGACAGAGAGAGAGAGAGAGAGAGAGAGAGAGAGAGAGAGAGAGATATTTTCAACCGATTTATGTATTTTGCTGGCCAGATAAGATTTGAGGGAATTAGAATAGCTTTACATTTTACAAATAAATAAGACTGTTTATCTGCGATTTGTAGCACGGTAGCAAGCAGTAAAGCAAACAGTACTTGCAACCTGTTGATAGAATTGTTGACGTTTATGCTTTCTTCAATTACCAACGTTTTTTTTTATTATTTATTTGAATCCGTATCTATATATTGTTTTCCATTAGTATCACTGATATTTATCCCTCATTGTTTAAAATATAGTTATCATTGAAATCTCTTGAAAATGTAATAGATTGAAAGCAAGATTTCCGGCTAAGCTGTATGTATATATATATACATATGTATCATCATTTAATAAAAGTGTTAGGATATCTTATCTTAAGTACTTCATATTTAGTTTGTTTACTTTTAAGAATTTACGTGGCTAGTTGAACGATAAGGTCTTCGTCATCGTTAAGTGAAAAAAAAAAAACAATAACTAAAAAACCTTGTGGAAAATAACTAAAGAGATTAGTATCCGTTGTGGATTTTTTTTTTTTTTTACGAACTCCCAAAACAAGAAACAAAATTGAAGCTTAAGCTCTGAAGTGACTAGTCAATTTATATACATATATTCTACAAATTTAATTTGAGTTTCACTGGGATTGCTGCTCAATTACTTGGGTTAGTTAGAACTGCATGATAAACATCTTTCATTGCAGGCTGTTTATGCCTATAATTAGATTTTATTAGATGTATGTGTATATATCTATTTTGAAAATGACTTATTGATGTATGTATAAAATATTGCTTGGCTTTTGTTTTACAGATCGTTTGGAAAACTCTCGGCAATCTTTATGGAGTCGTTGCACACACCCGCACACACACGCACACCCACACACACACATATGTAACAGTGTAACAATAGCAACAGCAAACAGCAATTCAACAAGTTGCAGACGTGTCTAATTGCGAGTAAGTCGTAAAATGTAATTTCTTTATAAATGTTGAGAATTTTACGCATACATATTTATACATTATATAGATACATCTATTACAATTGTATATATTCGCCAATGAGATAGGATGTCTGGGCTGCTTTTGTAAAATGTGTTGACAGCTAGGTGGGTGAGGGGGAGGGAGGGGCTGTGGGTGGAGGGTGGATGGCGTCGCAAAAATTGTTGCCTTCGCCAACACTTCATGTAAATCGCAGAACTCGACAGCCAAGGCAAGGCAATGGCGCTGGCAATGGCGATGGCGACAGCTTGCTTGACTAGCTCAAAGTCCAACAGCAACAACGAACAATAATAACAACAAGAACAACTGCAGCAACGGCAGCAGCAAGTCGTCTAACTTGTCAGATCGCGTGCCAAGAAATAATAATGAAGAAAAATCGTGTTACTTAGGCCCGGGCCTGAGGCAGTAACAGCAGCTTCAAGCACTTTATGCCTAATAATCATAACAACAACAACAGCAACAACAACAATAAATGCGACAGCAAATACAACAGTGCCAACCCCCTTTAACTGCCATCCAACCCACTCCAAGAGTGTGGGGATTGCTGTTGTTTTATTTCATATTTTTTGTCATGCGCCTGCGTGCCGTCTAATTAGCGCTCACTGAGAAATTCACTTGATGCGAACACCTCTCCTTCTCACAAACACGCCACGGCACGCCACGCTCCGCTCAGCTCCGCTCCACAGCAACGCTTGAATTTTCCTGTAGTACTGCATTTGTCAGTCATGCCATGCCAATGTGTACTGGCCACTGCAGAAAATTAGTGTGGTTCTAAACAGAATCAATCATCAAATAACATTTCATTTAGAACCATCATTTAGCTCCCTTAACTTATCGCCCATTTTGCTGCTGTATAGCAATAATATAGTAATTTAATATTTATAATAAATACAATAAATCCGCATTCCATTTAGTTGTTCGTTGATTGCCATTACACAGACAATGAAATAACTCTTTTAATATTTTTTGTAAGCATCACGAGTAGATGTCAAGTGCTGAAGCGGGCTCGTGATTATACGACTATGCTAACAAAACAAAACAATACAATACAATACAATAGAAACGTTTAGTTTGTTTTAGGAAAAGAACAACCTTGTCGTCAATCAAATTTTTGAATTGCGTATTTGACGACCATCAGTTAGTGTGTTGAGTTGGAAACGACAATTTTGAATCTTGATCCCAAGCCCATAAAACTTAAACGTATGTAAATGTTCCGTTTCAGTTGGTTTCAATGTGCGTGACTGCAATTTGATGTGGCCGATGTAGTGGCACGCAGCAGTCAACTAATTGGCAATTAAGTGCTTACGGATAAGTGATACGTGTACTCCACTCTCACGAACCAAGCAAGTCTTGAGCCAAGTCCCAAAACATGAGAAGGAAACAAAATTTACACAAAACACACTCTTTAGATGGAATACTTGCTATCGCAGCAACTAGCAGTTGAATTATTTAATCATAAACAAATCACAGAAAATAAAAATAACTTATTTAATTTCATATATTTGCAAACACAGATTATGTCAAAATATATATATATATATTTATTTTTAGCTCAAAAATGATTTTATTGGTTCGCCTTGGTTTACTTTTATAAGATAAGATAAGCTAACTGTTTCGACACATACTCGTTATCATAATCGGATTTGTATCTTTACTTTTCTTAACGACTAAATGAAGATCACAAAACAATCATTGTTATTTTTCGTAATCATATGTATTATATTAAGTAAAATTAGGCACAAAGATCAGCCAAGAAGAAGCCCACTTGAATAATAATTCAATTGTTTGTGCGGCTATACTTATTTTGTTGATTAAAATATTCATTATTTATTGCAATCCATTTAGGAATTTGTATTCAAACCTCTGCCGCGTATACCTGATTATTTGCATTCGATAACTCGATAACTCCTCCGTTTCGCGAATATCGATACAAATAGATTTCTAATGGTAACAAAAGCCGCAATTTTAAAGAGAAATTTGTGAATATAACTGTAACCGGTGTGTCTTAATCGGGTATCTGTTGACAGTTGACAGACCTCTCTCGACCACAGTATACATACTTGATATAATTTAATTTAATTAATGCGTTTTTCGATACAACTTTTCATACCTCTGACAGAGCTCAACTTGAAACTGAATTTCAACATTTTCACAAACCACAAAGAAAGAAACGAGTCCATAAGCTATTGATATCTAATTAGACGCATGTGCCAATAAGATTCCCCTTGGTGGCTTCACCCTTGACTGGCACAGTCCCAAGCCACAACGACACTAAGCCTAAGCTCCATTTAAGCCCGCATAGCTCATCAGATGTGCCACGTTTACCCTTTCGCCAATCCCCTAAACTATTTTGTCGGCTAAAACTACAATGTTCTGTTGCTGTTGCTGTTGCTGTTTCTGTACCTCTTTTGTGTTCTTCTTCTTCGACTGTTTCCCTATCGCACACCTGTGCTGTGCACCTTGCGTTGTGTTTGCCAGTCAACCAAAAAGCCATTCAAAAATCCCTAAAACAACTTGCAACAAACGAGCTGTGTTGCGGCTGGCAGCCCAACATGCTAATTAAAAGCTACTTTTGCCAGCCGCATTAATAAACATACATACAAATACACACACAAACACCAAAACACCGCAAATATCTGTTGTCTGCACTGGCAGCGGATTAATGAACATTCACGAGGCGGGCCGCAACACGGGGCACAGGACACTCAAGTGCCATCTAGCTGCTACAAACCAATCGGCTCTGTCAGCCATGTTTGTGTCCTCATCGTTGACGACACCGTCGCTCTGTTGAATGACAACAATTTGCATTTGTTTCATTTGAAATGTGTGTCTGTGTGTGTGTCTGTGTGTGTGTCTGTGTATATATACACTTGTAAATATCAGACAGAATGGATGGGTGTACTTAGGGGGGAGTGTGGTAGCTGCCTGCTGTCTGGGGACCTTTAACCGCAGACACGCGGAGGCACAGCGGGCGTGCTCAGTTGCTGGTCTGGGGGCGCCTCCTACTTGCCTTGGGGCGTCATTAAAAATGTCTTGATAGGTTTGTGGCTTTGATTTCAATGCGTTATTGTTGTTGTTGCTGCTGCTGTTGCTGTTGCTGTTAGCCAGACATAGCAGCAAATTGACAACCGCTGAACTCAGCGGAGAGTGCTGCAAAAAACGTTTGCGTATCGTATATAACAATGTGGTTTAAATCTCAGCGATTAACAATCATTTGACAAATGGATTTGCAGTTTACGTAACATTTGTGTAATCTCCATACGCCCTTGGCTTGGTGGGCACTTGCGATAACTATTTCAAAAGGACATCGTAAGCCTTCGAACAAAAAAAAAAAAAAGAAGAAAACTTTAAAGAAATATTATTATTTTTATTCCTTCTCTTGACCCGTTCCGTTTTTGTACCCTGAACCTATTTAAAGTGGATATAATAAAGGTGTTGCAGGCAGAACGAAGCATCACCAGCGAGAGTCCACGAATTATATATATATATATATATATAACTGCGTGATCAGCATTAGCAACCGAGTCGATCTGACCATGTCCGACCAATTGTCCGTCTGTATGCCACACGCAAATCAAGTTTATTTTATTTTGATCGGTAAATCTCGCTTGTGAATCAAAGCATGTGCAGCATTAGTTTTTTGTTTTGTAGCCATCAGTACCTGTGCCGGCCATAACCAATGAGAGCACTTCTATCTGGGGTATCTGATAGTCGAGTTCTCTCGACTATAGCAATTTTACTTGTTTCTTTTTCACTGCGTTTTTTTTTTTTCAAGTGTAAAGTGTTCAAGTCAAACATGGCGGGCAGGTCCTTTCCGCGGCCTCTTTGGCGCATCCGTCTCTGTCTTAACACTTTGCAGCTGAACTTTTTGACAGTCATAAATTTGCGTCCAGTATGAATTCGACAGCAAACTAAGGAGCCAAAGGCAGCCAAAAAATATATTTTCTTTCCCTTCTTTTCCATTCTCTTTTATTTTTTATTCTTTCTGTTTGTTTCGTGCATAATTTTTGCTCTTTGTGGACTGCAACTGGCGGCGGCGGCGAACAAATTTACAACTTAAAGTTCAAAACCTCTTAAGCGGAATGAAAACTTGCCCTACATACTATTCAAATACATATATAAATATATATATATATATTATGGTTTTGTTTTTGTCAGAATGGGTTATATTCTTGTATTCGCAACTGTAATCCTACAAGTGGCCCGATTAACAACAAAAGTCTTAATTGGTGTATTGTTGAATGCAATTAAAACCATTATAATAGAGAAACTTCTTTCCTACAAACTTAGATATTGAAGAAATATATTGTTAACAGTTAGATAACCTTTATATAAGCCAATAAAATAAGTTTGTAGTTCGACAAAGTGAAGCATATCAAGTTATTTGAGTAAATGTCTAGCGTTGAATATGAGAACCAATTCACTGGCACACCTTTAACTTATGCCTTATGACTGTTGCTTTGTGGCGCCGCATTCAGTTGTCCCTTTGTGCCACATGATGGTACGTATCAGTTATTCAGTCATTCGCTGTTGCTACCTTAGTTGAAGCCTCGACTCGAGTCGTCTCGAGTTGCCTCGGCCTCCAATCATGACTCTCGATTCTTGCCTGGGGCTTCCTTAATGCGCTCACAAGCACACAAGGAGGACTGGGCGTTGTTGCACTGCTGCTTGAGCATACAATATTCCCCAACAAGTACTATATCTTCAACCTGCATTTTTGTAGCTTCCAGTTCCAGTTCCAGTTGTCTTTTTTCTTTTGTAGTTGTGATTTGTACTGTTTTGCTGTTGTTGCTGCAATCGCATTGACTGCTCGAATAGCTGAGTAGTGTCAAGCAGAGTACAATTTGTGGAAAAAAAACCTACTTAAGAAGCAGTTGTTAAAAACTGATATTGCAACTAGTGTTCGCTATTTTTCAACAATATTATTCAAAACAGAGTAGCTTTTCGCAATGGTTCAA